ACTGTAGCCCAGACAGTCTTACACCCTCCTACTGTAGCCCAGACAGTCTTACACCCTCCTACTGTAGCACAGACAGTCTTACACCCTCCTACTGTAGCCCAGACAGTCTTACACCCTCCTACTGTAGCACAGACAGTCTTACACCCTCCTACTGTAGCACAGACAGTCTTACACCCTCCTACTGTAGCACAGACAGTCTTACACCCTCATACTGTTACCCAGACAGTCTTACACCATACTACTGTAGCCCAGACAGTCTTACACCATACTACTGTAGCATGACAGTCTTACACCCTCCTACTGTAGCACAGACAGTCTTACACCCTCCTACTGTAGCCCAGACAGTCTTACACCCTCCTACTGTAGCACAGACAGTCTTACACCCTCCTACTGCAGCACAGACAGTCTTACACCCTCCTACTGTTACCCAGACAGTCTTACACCATACTACTGTAACCCAGACAGTCTTACACCATACTACTGTAGCACAGACAGTCTTACACCCTCCTACTGTAGCACAGACAGTCTTACACCCTCCTACTGTAGCACAGACAGTCTTACACCCTCCTACTGTAGCCCAGACAGTCTTACACCCTCCTACTGTAGCACAGACAGTCTTACACCCTCCTACTGTAGCACAGACAGTCTTACACCCTCCTACTGTTACCCAGACAGTCTTACACCATACTACTGTAACCCAGACAGTCTTACACCATACTACTGTAACCCAGACAAGCCCCACACCATACACTGTAGCACAGACAGTCTACATCCTCCTACCAGCCACTTCCAGACAGTTCCACACCATACTACTGTGTCCAGACAGTCTTACACCATACTACTGTAACCCAGACAGTCTACACCATACTACTGTGTAACCCAGACAGTCTTACACCCTCCTACTGTAGCACAGACAGTCTTACACCTCCTACTGTAGCCCAGACAGTCTACACCCTCCTACTGTAGCACAGACAGTCCTACACCCTCCTACTGCAGCACAGACAGTCTACACCCTTCTACTGTAGCACAGACAGTCTTACACCCTCCTACTGTAGCCCAGACAGTCTTACACCCTCCTACTGTAGCACAGACAGTCCTACACCCTCCTACTGTAGCACAGACAGTCTTACACCCTCCTACTGTTACCCAGACAGTCTTACACCATACTACTGTAACCCAGACAGTCTTACACCATACTACTGTAACCCAGACAGTCTTACACCATACTACTGTAACCCACACAGTCTTACACCCTCCTACTGTAGCATGTGACAGTCCTACACCCTCCCACTGTAGCACAGCATAGTCTTACACCCTCCTACTGTTACCCAGACAGTCTTGAGCACCATACTACTGTAACCCAGACAGTCTTACACCATACTACTGTAACCCAGGACAGTCTTACACCATACTACTGTAAATTCCACACACACACACACACAAACGCGCGCGTTACCAAGGAAACATCCTGCTACATATCATCATCCTCCCCCCGCCCCCACACACAGGAGAATCAACCTTATCGACCTTACACACACACACCTTGTTATCTTACCTGGCCAGTAATTGTGCTATATTTAGCTGTACCGCCAACAAGGTTATTATCCCTCGGCTCTGATGGCTTTGTGGGGTCTTTAATAGTTCTTATATTGAGCTGTATACCGGCCGCCCACAACACTCTGTCCAGTAACATATTTAGCTGTATACCGGCCGCCCACAACACTCTGTCCAGTAACATATTTAGCTGTATACCGGCCGCCCACAACACTCTGTCCAGTAACATATTTAGCTGTATACCGGCCGCCCACAACACTCTGTCCAGTGACATATTGAGCTGTATACCGGCCGCCCACAACACTCTGTCCAGTAACATATTTAGCTGTATACCGGCCGCCCACAACACTCTGTCCAGTGACATATTGAGCTGTATACCGGCCGCGCACAACACTGTCCTGTGACATATTTAGCCGTATACCGCATATAATAGAACAGGGTTCCATAGATATACTGTTTGTAATATCTGTTTCGGTACTCTACCACACGGTAGTATGGGAGAGTGTTTGGGGGTGGTTCTGGACGGAGGGTCGCTGCGAGACACAAGATCGATAACCTTACGGCTGGGGACACACTGGGTGTAGGACAGTGTGTGTGTGTGTGTGTGTGTGTGTGTGTGTGTGTGTGTGTGTGCGCGCGCAGTTTCATATACGTTTGTGAATGGTTTTGTCTCTGAGTTATTGTACTTTAAGGGTAAAAATATCAGAAGATTCCCATCATTACATAACTGTTTGTCTTGGGTCAGGACACTGGTCCGTTATGGGGAAATATTAATAGCTTCTATAGAATGGTAACGGCGCCTTTATATATGTTGAAGACATCAGTCAAAAGCTCACCTAACAGGTGGTGTACCACTGTGCACACGTGTTAACATAAGAACATAAGAAAATAAGGAGTCTGCAATAGGCCGGTTGGCCTGTACATGGCAGCTCCTGTCGAGAGTTACTACCACTCTCTATCATCCATGAATCTATCTAGCCTCCTTTTGAAACTTTCCAGAGTTCCCGCACTTACTACAAAGTTGCTAAGCTTGTTCCACTCGTCCACCACCCTATTTGTGAACCAGTTTCTTCCTATCTCCCTCCTAAATCTAAACTTATCCAACTTGAATCCGTTGCTCCGAGTCCTATCCTGCTCGGATATTATAAGAACTTTATCTATATCCCCTTTATTGATTCCTTTCACCCACTTAAACACTTCTATCATATCTCCCCGCACTCTTCGTCTTTCTAGGTGAATGCAAGTTTAGTTTCTTTAACCTATCCTGATATGGAAGGTTTCTAAGTCCCGGAATCATTTTTGTCATTCTTCGCTGCACCGACTCTAGTGAATTTATATCCATTCTATAATAGGGGCACCAGAACTGAACCGCATAATCGAGGTGCGGCCTGACTAGCGCAATAAGACCTCTGCACTCTTGTTACTTACACTTCTAGATATAAAACCCAATACTCTGTTTGCCTTATTTCGAACATTAACGCACTGTTTTCTAGGCCGTAGGTCCGGGCTTACAAGTACCCCTAGGTCTCTTTCACAAGTCGACTTCTCTAGGTTGATGTTGTTAAGGCTGTATACATTATAAGTATTTGTTCTTCCAATATTAAGTACGCTGCACTTGCTGGTGTTGAATTTCATTTGCCATTTTTCAGACCACCCCTGCAGTTTATTTAGATCCTCCTGTAATGCATTTGCTGTACCATTGTGTACACAGGTACTGGACTACTGTGCACAAAGGTACTACTGTATGTTCCAAACACCTCCCTAATCATCTTGTTCTATATATCTGTCTTACGACATAGTAATACTGTGTTGTTACCTGCGCACACACTCACTGTCTTGTCAGCTTTCTCGATTACATATACCGCCATCTCGAGAAACGAAAAACGTCTGTAGCTGTCGCCTTCATTGATTTCACTAAAGCGTTCGACCTAGTCGACCACAATATAATCATCAACAAAGCAATTGACCTCGGGCTTCGGAGAAGTCTTATACCATGGCTTACAGACTTCCTCAGTGACCGACGCCAAGCTGTACGCTTCCGAGGGGCTGTCTCCACCTTTCAGTCACTCACCTGTGGCGTCCCCCAAGGCACCAAGATGGGACCACTCTGCTTCCTAAATGCTCATCAATGATGCCCTAAGAGAAACCCCTGCTCGCTGGAAATATGTCGACGACTCCACCATTGGGATCAGCGTCAACAATTCTGCTCCCAACTATACCGCCCTTCAGGATTTATTGAACAGTCTCCAAAACTGGGCCACCAACAACCATGTCACCATCAACCATACCAAGACCATGGTTATGCACATCAACCTCTCCTCTGACATTGTCCCACCTCCTTCCATTACTCTAGGTCCGAACACACTCCAGGTTGTAGATTCCACGAAGCTCCTCGGCGTCACCATAGACAACAAACTAAATTGGAAACCACACGTCAGTGAAGTTATCAAATCCTCCAGTTTCCGTCTCCACCTCCTCCACCGACTCAAGTCCCTCGGAGTTCCTGCACACGAGCTCCTCAGTGTTTACACAACATTCATACTTCCCAAGCTCACCTATGCCTCCCCCACCTGGTCTTCCTCCCTAAATGCCACACAACGTAAACACCTAGAAAAGGTGCAAAAGAGGGCATGCAAGATCATTCTCTCCCCTTCCTACTCCACATATCAAGAAGAGCTCAACACAGTGACCCTTTCGACTCTCACTGACCATCACCACGACCTCATCTGCAAATTTGGTAAGAAGCTTCTGCACCATCCTCGACACCGACTCCTACTACCACCTGAGATCCCTAGCCCGAGAATTGCTGTTCGACACCACAACCGCATCCAGCCCATACGTGCACGAACTGATCGCTATAAGAACAGCCCAGTCCCAACCATTGTAAAAATTATCAATAACTTGTAATAAAAGAGTGTATTCACTCCCTGTAAATCCTACTTCTTGCACTGTCACTATGTTGAAATGCCCTGTAGTTTGAGCTTTTCCCCTTCTAGTTATTATATATCTTATTTGTATCACTTATGTTACGTGTATATTATTTGTAAATCGAAACCCATTCCCCAATTATGTAACTGTATATTTTCAGCCTTCCGGCTGCCAAGCTCTTTCAATAAACCGTTAATTATTATTATTATTATTATTATTATTATTATTATTATTATTATTATTATTATTATTATTATTATTATTACATACACACACACACACACACACACTCTAAACATTAGTGCTCAGAGTTGATCGACAGAAAGTACATAAAAAAGAGGGGGACTAAAGACATGTGGATAATAATAAGACTAATAAAAGAGATGGAGTAGTAAAAGAATAATAATAAAGATGTGGAGTGGTGAAATAAGGAGGCTAAACAAAGATTATTAAACAAGTGAGGATGTAGAATAAACACAAGGATATAGGGGAGTCAGAGGTGAGCACCTGTGCATTACCTTGGCGACGAAGACGGCGATGACGGAGGTAGCCAGCTCAGGCGCCGAGGACCCTGCTGCCATGAAGGTGGCCCCGGCTACGTCCTCACTCAGATGTAGTTCTGTGGACCATGAGATAATTATGACACTAGGTGAGATAATTATGACACTAAGTGAGATAATTGTGACGCCAGGGGAGTTAATTGTGACACTCGTAACAGCACGTCAGGTAGGTCGTGACAACAGATGGTAAACTGAGACAACACCCTTCCCGCCCTTCCTTCCTCCTTTCCTCCCTCCCTCCCTTCCTTCTTCCATGCCTTCCATCCCTCTCTGTCCCCCCTCCCTTCCATTCCTCCCTCCTTACCTCCCTCCTTACCTCCTTACCTCCCTCCCTCCTTCCTTACCTCCCTCCTTCCGTCGGGTCCAATTGAAGGTGTCAATACGAGGTCAACTTTATTTGATGTTTCCCTGTCGCAGTTGTGTCCTGCCACCCACCTCCTGACACCCACCACCAGCCACCCACCTCCTGCTACCCACCACCAGCCACCCACCTCCTGACACCCACCACCACCACACCCACCACCAGCCACCCACCACCTGACACCCACCTCCTGCCACCAACATCCAGCCACCCACCACCTGCCACCCACCTCCTGACACACCACACCACCACCAGCCACCCACCTCCTGCACCCACCCACCACCAGCCACCCACCTCCTGACACCTACCACCAGCCACCCACCTCCTGCCACCCACCACCAGCCACCCACCACCTGACACCCACCTCCTGCCACCAACATCCAGCCAACCACCACCTGCCACCCACCTCCTGCCACCCACCACCTGACACCCACCTCCTGCCACCAAAATCCAGCCACCCACCACCTGCCACCCATCCCCTGTCGCAGTTATGTCCTGCCACCCACCTCCTGACACCCACCACCAGCCACCCACCTCCTGACACCCACCAGCCACCCACCTCCTGCCACACCACCACCAGCCACCCACCTCCCCACCCACCACCAGCCACCCACCCACCACCAGCCACCCACCTCCTGCCACCCACCACCTGACACCCACCTCCTGCCACCAACATCCAGCCACCCACCACCTGCCACCCATCCCCTGTCGCAGTTGTGTCCTGCCACCCACCTCCTGATACCCACCACCTGCCACCCACCTCCTGCCACCCACCACCAGCCACCCACCTCCTGACACCCACCACCTGACACCCACCTCCTGCCACCAACATCCAGCCACCCACCACCTGCCACCCATCCCCTGTCGCAGTTGTGTCCTGACACCCACCTCCTGACACCAACATCTAGCCACCCACCACCAGCCACCCACCTCCTTCCAACAACATCCAGCCACCCACCACCTGCCACCCATCCCCTGTCGCAGTTGTGTCCTGCCACCCACCTCCTGACACTCACCACCAGCCACCCACCTCCTGCCACCCACCACCAGCCACCCACCTCCTGACACCTACCACCTGACACCCACCTCCTGCCACCCACCACCAGCCACCCACCTCCTGCCACCAACATCCAGCCACCCACCACCTGCCACCCATCCCCTGTCGCAGTTATGTCCTGCCACCCACCTCCTGACACTCACCACCAGCCACCCACCTCCTGCCACCCCACCAGCCACCCACCCCCTGACACCTACCACCTGACACCCACCTCCTGCCACCCACCTCCCCACCCACCACCAGCCACCCACCTCCTGCCACCAACATCCAGCCACCCACCACCTGCCACCCATCCCCTTTCGCAGTTGTGTCCTGCCACCCACCTCCTGACACCCACCTCCTGCCACCCACCTCCAGCCACCCACCGCCAGCCACCCACCTCCTGCCACCCACCTCCTGCCACCAACATCCAGCCACCCACCTCCTGCCACCCACCTCCAGCCAGCCACCACCAGCCACCCACCTCCTGCCATCCACCTCCGGTCACCCACCTCCTGCCACCCACCTCCAGCCACCCACCCCCGTCACTCACCACCAGCCACCCACCTCCTGCCACCAACATCCAGCCACCCACCACCAGCCACCCACCTCCTGCCATCCACCTCCGGTCACCCACCTCCTGCCACCCACCTCCAGCCACCCACCCCGTCACCCACCACCAGCTACCCACTTCCTGCCACCAACATCCAGCCACCCACCACCAGCCACCCACCTCCCCCATCCACCTCCAGTCACCCACCTCCTGCCACCCACCACCTGCCACACACCTCCAGCCACCCAACTCCAGTCACCCACCTCCTGCCACCCACCACCTGCCACACACCTCCAGCCACCCAACCCAGTCACCCACCTCCTGCCACCCACCTCCAGCCACCCACCCCGTCACCCACCTCCAGCCACCCACCTCCTGCCACCCACCTCCCCCTCTCTCTCTCTCTCCCGCACTCCCTACAACTCTCTCCCTACCTACTCTCCTTCACTCCCTCACCCCCTACCTAGTCTCCTTCACTCCCTACAACTCTCTCTCCCTACCTCCCTCCATACAACTCTCCCTTTCTACGACTGACGAGGACTCAGCAAAACTACAGGAAGATCTAAACAAATTTTTCGAATGGTCTGAAAAATGGCAGATGAAATTCAATGTGGACAAATGTAAAGTACTCAGTATAGATGTAAACAGGGAAACCAGATACCAGATGAACAACGATGCCATAGAGAAATCCGACTGCGAGAGAGATTTAGGAGTAATGATAAGTAGGAACCTTAAGCCAAGTAAACAATGTGTTTTTGCTCGTAACAAGGCTAATAAAGTACTTGGGTTCATATAAAGGAGTGTTAGTTACAAGACTAGCGAGGTCATCCTAAAACTGTATCTTGCTCTTGTGAGACCACACCTGGATTACGCAGTTCAGTTCTGGTCACCGTATTACAGAATGGATATAGAATCCTTGGAAAGAATTCAGAGGAGAATGACAAGACTAATCCCGGGCATTAGGAACCTTGAGTATAGAAACAGGTTAAAGCATCTTAATTTGCACTCCCTCGAGAGACGTACAGTAGAGCGAGGTGCGACCTGATAGAGGTGTATAAGTGGAAGGCAGGGCTAAACAAAGGGGACATTACAAAGGTACTCAAACTATCCAACCAGGAGCGAACTCGTAACAATGGTTTTAAATTAGACAAATTTAGATTTAGGAGGGAAATAGGTAAACACTGGTTTGGAAACAGAGTAGTGGATGAATGGAACAAGTTACCAAATATCATCATTAACTCGAATACGCTGAATAGCTTCAAACAGAGGTTGGATGCTTATATGAGCAATAGGGGTTGGGTGTAAACGGGACTGCCCAGTATGGGCCAATAGGCCTGCTGCAGTTTCCTCCATTCTTATGTTCTTATGTTCCCTCCCTCCCTCCCACGCCTCATTGACTTTAACACTCAAAGTTCTCCAAAACTTGTGTGGTGAATCTTACTTGTTGGAGGAACCACACCTTCTAGACCATGCCATCACAACACTATCACACCATCACCACAATACCATACCACTTCCACACCCAGTGATGACCTGACCACCGTACGGTCAAGACCTATTTAGGCTCTCCCCCTTGGCCAATGTTCGGCCCATTCCCCACGTCCCTCTCCCGACCCATCCTCACCACCGGGATATCAACATAATCAAAAGTGACAATTTCGTTTCGGAAAGAAGTGGAACCAGTGTTGAACAGTTATGAACAGTGTTTAAGCCAGTGAATTCAGCACTAGACAGTACCAGTGAGAACCGTGACTCAACAGTGAGATAAGCACCCCTCGGAACTGACCGCCATCTCCTGACAAGGAGGTGCTAATCAGTCCACCCTGAGAACAACAGTGGGTCGGCTTCACACTTGACTTCGAAATAACACACCACCACCCAGTAGGGTGGGGATAGGTCAACCACTGCAAATATGTTGCCTGTATAACAAGTGAACTACCGTGGGTTGAGCACTGTGTCGTGTGTAAGTGTAGGTGCCCGCGAGGCAAGGCCTATACCCTTGTGGTCACGCTCGGCCATGTGGTGAGGGTTTGTTTACACAAACCCCCCTCCTCATAGTGTGCCAAGCTGGTTAGTTCTTTTGAAACTAAAATTGACTTTGATACTGTATCTAACCAGAAAAACAGACATGCTATTAAGAACAAGTGTAGTGTAATAAAAGTGTTTATAAACTGAGAATACTCCTGTTACCTTAGTCCCCCCGACACCACACTCCCTCCGCGGGAGGCCCGCTCATGGCCTCCCCTCACACCGCTAATACGCTGTAGATACCAGTCTCCTTTGTCCTCTAAGAGGGTTACGCCTCCCAACCACCGCTGACTTCCTAGGAGTGCCAAGCAGTCCTCGGCCCTCTGACGTAGGCATATAAGTCGAGTCCTGTAACTCCACCATGTCTGAGTTGACTGGAAACCCAGCTACTCCCTTTAACTCTCCTGATGCACTGAGTGAGCCAGGCGACTGTGGCGTTGACCTTGACACCAACGGAGAGGATGGCTTTCAACTAGTTCAGTCCAGGAACAAGCGGAAGGCCGAAAAGGCAGAAAGACTTAGAGACCATCAACTACAACCTCAACCCCCCATGAGAGTAAGATTATACTTCCCTGAAGGTACATCACCTGAAGACAAGTATCTCTGGCTGAACGATGCAGAAGACAAACACCCCAGAGGCTGAGTTTCAGTTCAGAGTCGGTACACAAGATCATATTCTGATTAGGAACGACCCAGCAGTCATACAGAATCTCCTCACCAATAGCATAAGGGGAATAACCATCGAACAATCATCCCAACCATCGAGCAAGAAAACCATCTTAATCATAGGGCTCGACCAGTACCAGACGCCTACACTACTAGCTCATCCCGACATCAGAAGGACGAAGCGACTCAGGGGCAAGAATGCAGTCATTGCAGACTGGGTTGGCTCGGAAGACCCACCCAAGACCATTCGAGTCCGTGGTGCCTATCGGACTCTGAAGGTAACTCTCTATCAGCCCCCTACCCGGAGGTGTTACAACTGTCAGCACTGGGGCCATGTGGCCCGGTTATGCCTTGTTGACCGGGGTGTCAAGGTCAAACTGTTGTGGATCCCCTCTCACATAGGCCTCATAAAACA